CTCAATTCTCGAATGTCACAAAAGGAACAATTTGTTATGATTAGCCTCCAAAACTGGGTATGTGTTTTTCTTATATTACGAGTTGTGCATTAACTGTTAGAAGCTTGATTTGTAGCAGGATCCAAGCAGAGGTGAAATCGGACAAAGGTGGTTGGAGTTTGTATGATACTTGTGGTGAATTGGTAATGAGTATCAACAGAGATGAGGCTCTTAGAGCCCAAGATTTAGCAGAGGGTTTGATGAAAAACTCAGACTTCACTTCTGCTCGTAAGCTTGCGATGAAGGCTCAGAAGATGGATTTTAGCCTGGAGAACATTTCTCGTATGGTGATGGTCTGTGATGTTCACTGTGCTGCAACAGAGAAATTGTTCGGGAACGAGATGGATTGGTATGGGATACTTCAGGTTGAGCAGAATGCTAATGATATTATCATCAAGAAACAGTACAAGAAGCTCGCGCTTCTTCTCCACCCTGATAAGAACAAGCTCCCGGGCGCTGAATCGGCTTTTAAACTGATTGGTGAAGCCCAGAGGATACTTTTGGACAAAGAGAAAAGGACGCTTCATGACATTAAACGCAAAACTTGGAGAAAACATGCACCAGCACCATCATATAGAGCCCAACATGTGCCGAATTATCACACAAAGCCTGTTTTTCAGCCAGGCGTTAATATGAGGAATGTCTTCAACGAGTTGAGACCGGAGAATAGGCCTCCCCAACAAAAAGCTCAAGCCCAACCAGCCGCTTTCAGTCACCGTCCAACGTTTTGGACCTTTTGTCCCTTCTGCCAGGCAAAGTATGAATATCTTAGGAAACATATCAAGCTAAATGTTACTTGTCAGACTTGCAAGAAACAGTTCACTGCTTTTGAAACTGCTTTCCAGAGTGTACCACTTGCAAAGAGCTCATGTCAGACTACTTTTTCCGTCCCGCAACAGAACAAGTTTCCAGGCCAAAAGGCTTGCAATGAACCGCAAAAGCATCCAGATAATCCTGCCACTGTTTCCTCTAGAAAGGCGAAGAAGAGAAAGAATCTATCAGCGAGTGAAAGCTCTGACAGTGAAAGTAGCAGCAGCGAGTCAGAAGATGATTTAAACGATGATATTACGGTAGCACGAAATCCGGGGTCCGATGGAGGACAACAGCCTCGGAGGTCAGTCCGTAGCAAGCGGCAGGTTTTCTATAATGAAAATTTGAGCGACGACGATGCAGACTTAGTCAACGACAATGGGGAAGGGTCCCGGAAAAATATAGGCACTGAAATGGAAGAAGAGCCAGAAGACGAAAAGCAGACACATGAGGATCATCACTCTACTGAAAGCTTGCCAAATGGCATAAACCAGGAGGAGAAGATGAAAGAAGACCAGGTTAAAAGCTCTGCTGGTGTCAGTGACTTGGAGGAAGATTTAAGTTCAGCAAGTGCAGCAAAACCAAATCTTATCAACTATGATGATCCTGATTTCAATGACTTCGATAAGTTGAGGGAAGAAAGCCTTTTTCAAGTTGGCCAGATCTGGGCTTTATATGATGAAGAAGAGGGATTGCCTAGATTTTATGCTCTCATAAAAAAAGTTACAACTCCAAATTTCTCGCTTAAGTACGTATGGTTGGAGGCAGACGAAGATGAAGAGAATGAAACACGAAATTTGCCCGTCAGTGTTGGTAAGTTCGAACTTGGCGGAGAGGAGAAGACAGATCAGTGTTCTATTTTCTCCCATTTGGTCCACAACAAAACAAGAAGCAGGGCCAGGCATTTTAAGGTATTCCCGAAGAAAGGAGAAACGTGGGCCATTTACAAGAACTGGAACAACGACTTGTCCTCTGAGTCAGATTCTTCTCGTGAGTATGAGTTTGTTGAGATCGTGTCTGATCATACAGAGGGAGCCACAGTATCAGTCGGGTTCTTGTCTAAAGTGGAAGGCTTTTCATGTGTTTTCTGTCCATTGCCAAAGGAAGAATCAGACACTTTTGAGATCTCACCTCATGAGTTCTGTAGATTCTCACATATGATTCCGCATTTCAGATTGACGGGAACAGAAGGGAGAGGCGTAATGGAAGGTTGGTATGAGCTCGATCCAGCTGCTTTACCAGTCCCTGGCTCTCAAAATCTGTCAGGACAAGAAGCAGCTCAAGACCAAGACCAAGACCAACAATCATCAACTGCAGGATCTGCCTCTTAATAGTCTCTCAATCAGAGGCTATGTTGTTACATGACTTGCTCAAATCACGATGCTTGGAGCCGGGTGTATTTTGTTCAGGCGTACAGAGTTAACTGACAAAGAAAAACTGGAACTCTTAAGAGGCTTTTGTTGAGCTCGATCCCTCTGTGTTGTACTGTTGATATACTCGAGTCATGATTCTGTTGGGCGATTGTTTTTGTTATTTTGTCTAGCTCCTGCGTTTTCTGTTTTTGGATCACTCAAGACTTGGAAACTTAACCAGCATTTCTCTCTAATCTCCATTGTTGTTAGAGTAAGAAACTGTGGAATGAGGCTGGTGAAACCCCTTTATAGTCATATTATGCTTGTGCTCTCTGTTTCCTACTTTAGTATCAGTTTTAACTTCTATCTCAAAGCAGATATTACTAGCGTTGAGCTAATTAAGACATTCCTAAAATTACATCATAAGGGCATTTGGTCTAGTGGTATGATTCTCGCTTTGGGTGCGAGAGGTCCCGAGTTCGATTCTCGGAATGCCCCTTTTTTTTTTACTTTCTGTTTTACTCGCACACCAAATGTTGACGACTCTGATGTTCTAATGAAGATGTCAAAATGAAAGTTTGCCGTTTAGATATTCACAAAATGGCAAGAAGAAGTCACACTACACAACAAAACAGCAAGCAGTCGTTAAAAAACCTTGTACAACAAAACGGCAAGAAGTGGTTGATCACATTTCAACAAAAAACTCATTTTCATGATAATACACGAATGTTTCTCTTTCACAAACTATCATCGAATCGACCCCGCAAAACAAAAATAACAATTAATTTCAAAGGGGCACAAAAAGAAAATTGGTTCGAAGAGTGGATATATATATTTACATTTTACATGTCATTGTGGATCAGTATGAACAACTTCTTCTTCTTTTTCAATAATACAAACACAAGGAAGAACAGAGAAACCAAAGGAATAGAGATTTCATACTCGATTTGAGTTTTCTGCAACGCGTACACGCCAGGCGAAATAATGAAGATACATCGAGTTTAGGCACACGGCTATCCCGAAACCAAGAATCCCTGCAAAAAGTATAGAATAGATCGCCGATAGTTTAACCTGAAACAGAGAGATTCGGAAAAGTATATGTTGATTTTCATTTCTCAGTAATCAAATGCGGAAAATCGAGAAGTGAGAGTATTGCTTACTGTGGCATATAATAGATGAACCAACAAGCCCACAAGAGCAAACTCAAGTGCTGCATATGTCCATATGTATTCTCTGATAGCTGCAGAATCAGATTATAGCAAACTTTTGTTACTCTAATCTGCGAATAAACAAAAGAGAGAATTTGAGAGTTTTGAGGTAGAGTGGTTACACATACCGAGGACAATGGCAAAAATGGATGCTAGGAGACCCAACGTTAACGAAAATGGTGCTGCAATGTAGATAGCTTGCTTGTTCAAGTCACGGATCTACAAGAAAGAACATATAAAAAAACTTGTCAATGTCTACTGCAACAAACTATCAACGAAAACAAAATATTTGCATCGGTGTCTACCAGTAATTGCTCGAGGAAGAAGAAGTAGCAGACTGTGCTGATTAGAACTAGCACCACAAACTCTTGCCAAGCACTGCACCAATCCATTCAGTTATCCTTTAAGTTATTTCCAAGAATGGTGAAAAACAAGAAGCATCTTGAAGTTACCTAACGGTTTGTGACTGCATACTCTGTTGATTTCGATCACGCCTGTTGATTGGTTGATTATTTGTGGGCACACGAAGCAATGTAACTGGTAAGTTCTTGACTTCTTGTCTACAGACGTCACAGGTTCTTGTTCCCTTTGTACTAAACCACTTCATGGCACACGCCTCATGAACAAGTCTGAGATCCCCTTTGCAGCTGCACTCCATTTTAAGAGTATTGCCTTCTTCACACACGTCCAGACATATCCGGCACACGGCTTCTTCTTCGGGAATTTCTTCTTCTGTTTCTTCAGGAGGAACGGGAGAGACTTGATCTGCCAAAGATAGAAGAACATATTTGTTAATCATTATCAGTATGTACGGATAGCATATGAATGCATGATCAAAGTTCTAAATTCTTTCAATTCAAAAAAAAAAAAAAATGTTGAACGAACCATATGAATATGCAACTGCGTTTTTCATTGATCAAAGTTGATATGCTTTGCACTAAAAAAACTGCACATGAATCAATCTATTCCTCGTATCATTATCCAAACCTCAAGTCTTCTTACAAGTCTATATATTTTGATTCAGTGAAATCCCAAAAGGCTCCATGTATCAAGGAAAATTAGCATAGAATGCTTCAGTAACTGCTTAATATCAACTTTCAAATGATAACTAGGAAAAAAGATTTGATTTGAACACCTGGTAGAAACATGTACCTGCACTCGTTTCAGTCAAAACACGGGCTTTGTGGTTGTCGAAAGAGATGGATCGCACAATCACTTTGTTTCTTCCCGGCATGGACAAGGACCTTGGAACGGCTGGATGAGCAGAATCTTTCTGTAACAAGTTTCAATCATTACTTCAATTTTGTACAGCTAAATTTTAGACGAGATGGGAATTTCTTCAGTGTAGGATAACCAACAACTCACATTAGGAGGTTCACCAGGCACTCCAGCTGAAACCTGTGTAGATACTACAGGAGAAAGCTTTATGGCATGTCTGTTAGGAAGTGACAAACATCTTTTCCAATAAGGCGAAGTTGTTGAACTGGCGGTATTGGGCTTTTTAACGGTTTCCATGATACCGGGAGATAGTAGGGAGCTTCTCTCGCTTTCAGGTTGAGAAACAACTTTCTTTTTCAAGCTTAGATTCCGCAAGATTCCTCTTGGTGAAGAGGAACTGCCACTTTTGAATGAACTTGTAGACTTCAGTAAACCCTTTGGTGTACACCCGCTACTGAATGGAACTGATCTTGGAGGTATTTGTATCGAAAGATCCAAGTGGGTTCCGCTCGATTGAGAGCTTGGCACATCTTCAGTAGAATTTTCTTTAACCAGATGATCACCCTATAAGGAAGACATGAGACACATGCCAAAGTTCAAGCCTTTCTCATACACAACACAGATAAGCAAATCTGAAAACTATAACAACATTTTTCACATAAAGAGAGAAATCCAGCATTTTCAATTCGAATAATAAGAGACCAAAAAAGCTTTGTAGTAACTGAAGAAATCCCCAATTATAATTACAAGATCTAAACAATGGATTTGTGCTTCTCATTCCCACACATAGAAAAAAAAAAGCTGAAAACTTCTTATATGACTAAACAATTTCCAAGTGGCTTATAGTATTCCTCTCTTTATAATAGACACATAAATAAATCAAAACTAGATGCTACGACCACTAAGTGAATCAGATTTGATCAAATCCAGATTCCTTAAGAACAGAGGAAGATAAAAGATCCCAAATGTAACGTCTAGCCAATATAAAACCCTTTCATTGATAATAATCCAAATCGTCTCAATCAGAAAAGGGGGAAAAAACTTACAAACAAAAGAAAACCCAGATACGTTTTCTAGCGAAATCTTCAAATACCCACGTTTGATTTAAGAGATTAGACACAAAGCTTTCAGATTTACGTTATAATCTACAAACCCAGAAAGGCTATTAGGTTTTAAAAGGAATCGATTTTGGAATATGTACCTG